TTATCAAGTAAATCCATAATTTATTAATTTGGTAACAATATGGTTCATTAGTTAACATGAACTAATAATGAACTGCACTTATACAGCATTTATTAATCTTTGTTAATGTTAATCTCAACATTTACTAATACAGTATTAATCTTGTTAACATTAGTTAATGCTCTGTGAACTAACATGAACAAACAATAAACAACTGTATTTTCATTAACTAACGTTAACGAAGATTAGTAAATACAGTAACAAATGTATTGCTCATGGTTAGTTCATGTTAGTTAATACATTAATTAATGTTTAATGAACCTTATTGTAAAGTGTTACCATTAATTTTAATAACATCTTAAGACTTGACACTCTTGCTGAGAATATTCAACTTTTATTTAAATGTTAATAATTAATACATGTAACAGTAAAGCATATACTGAAATTAAAATAAAAAACGACCATAAATAACTTATAAGTTGTAAATGACCAATACACATGAATAGAAATAACTTAAAACTTAAGTTGTAAATAAACTATATTCGTTGACAATGACATTGCGATTGCAATGTGACAAGTCAAAAGCAGTAACTAATTGGATTCTTACTTGGAAATGTACATAATGAAACGTTTTCCAAAAATTAACAAATTTGCAATGTATTGTTTAATACTATATATTTTTACCAGGTACAAGTAATTAACGGGTTCAGTTTTGTTTTATATAATTAAGGATTTTTTTTATTTTTTTTTTATAATTATGTATTACTACCATGTATTGTTTCAGCCGCATTTCCTGTTTACCGCGTCGTCGACGTAATTATCGTGGCACTCTAGGCTACGTAGGATGGACGAAAACATACAGTGAATGGGGGGAGATAATTTTGCTGGAAATGCATAAATAAGCCGTAATTTTGTTTTATTTGTAACTCTTTGGTATATACATTTATAATTTCGATTACATTACTACTACTACTGTTACTACTAATAAAACAGATCTCTGGGGGCCCCAAAAGTGCGTGGGCCCTTAGAATCGTCCTAACTTTCCTCCCCATTAGCAGCTCCCCTGTTTGTGGGCGTTCCCATCAATGCTGAACAAGTAGTGTAAACTAGACGTATTTACTGTACATGTGTTTTGTGTTGATTTTTCGACTTCAATGCAGTCAGTTTCTGTTGTTAGGAAAAATGATCTTACAATAACCAGTACAATACAGACTATAATTTACACTATAATGAGTGATAGTATGAATGACAAGATATCTTGATACTATGTTATATTAAAAATAAATATAGATCTATTATTTAAGAACACAGTAAATTATCTTCGAGAAGTGTATGGAGCCTGCGGAGGTGGAAATCATGAAGCAAAAAAATAAATAAATAAATAATGAAAGTTCAAAAAATTGTCATCGCGTCTTTCTGGTATTTAATTCTAAAGAAGAAGTCGTCAAATTGTTAATGAATCTGAATTAGACTTTTTGGTGAAAAAAAAATCTAAATATTCAGGAGTGATTGAGATGGATGGATTTCATCAGTGTACCGCAAGTGCTCAGAATTCATCATTAATCTATCTATCTATCTATCTATCTATCTATCTATCTATCATGCTTGCATGCTAGTACATTTTGTTCTTTACTTCGGTTATGCTTTACCTGAAAGGCCTGAAAAATAAAACTGAAATTAAAAGCTTGTCATAATTACAAGTTTAATACATGGTCTTGTATTAAAAGCTAAGAGGGCAATGACACCCTAACAACGTAGAATACCTTCCACTAGAGGAATGACTTGATTTGTGAGAAACAAATATGTCAATGAGTCAGTTTACTTCTGCAGTAAGATTAATTTATTGTATTCTGTACAGCTAATAGCTCAGAAATGTTGCTTTGATTTAAACAAGAACAAAAGCTGTTGAAAAGTTGTTAAAAGAAATGCATTAATCATTAACATATCAAGTGCAGACAGCAGACTTAACCTCATCTACAATGTTCAGTGAGCGAAGCACACTAGCTAATGTGATGAGATTCTCAGAGAACAATGCGATGTGAAACAATGTGAACAATGTTAAAAGTATTTTTCATTCATGGTGATGTGATCCAGAAAATGGTTAGATTATTGTCCTCTGTCTTTACCAAATGTCCCATCTGATGGGTGATTCCACTGTAAACACAGAAAATGGGAAAATATTTTCTTTCCATTTTTTAAAACACAAACCCTAGTCACTCAGAACACAAATGTACACTGTACATTATGGAGGAATATTCAGCAGACAAAAATAAATTTAAATTAAAAATGGCTTCACATGAAATTACAGCGCAAGTACAATACAGTGCAAGCTCTACACAAAGTAGGAACAGATTGTTTAGGATGGGTGTCCATGTTTAAATTCTAATCCATGAATCCGCCATATCTCTTCTGCATGCTGGGCAGGGCAGTCTCGCCTCCATCCTCCCAAGTGCGTTTCAGAAACCCATTGCTTTTCTGGTTGTCCAACCAGTCAGGCCTGCCCACTCTGCGCATAAACCCCCCGTATCTCTTGTGCAGGTCTCTCCCTGCCTCCCCTAGACCACTGTTCCCCTGTACACTCCTCATGAATCCCCCATAGCGCTTGACCATGTCCCCATCATGCTGCTCATCTGACTCTGAGGTGAGACCGACCCTGAGGATCTCTCTCAGCATCTCCACCTGTTGGTCTTCGGCTCCACCTTCTGCCTTGTCCTTCTTCATAAAGCCTCCATATTTCTTACTCATGGCCTCTGTGCCATCACTCTCAGCTGGGGCTCCTGTGCCGATCTCTGCTGCTTTCTTAATCATGAAGCCCCCATAACGCTTCATGAATCCACCATATTTTTTGGCGAGAAGATGGTCTGCACTCTCTTCCTCTTGTTTGAGGTTGTCCATTTCAAGGCGATCCCTTTCACTGAGGATGTTTTTGCAGATTTCTAGTTGTCTGAAGTCCACTGTCCCTTCACACTGTAATGAGCAGGTCTATGGGAGACATGAATGACCAATCAATGCAAAGAAACAATTGGTCCACCAGAGGGCACACGTTCATTCTGCTGGCGTTCAATCCAGCTGCATATTACAGTTTTTCTCAGTCACTTTGGTGCATTTCTCAGATCAGAAATGAAATTCCCAAAACTACTTGTTCTACCTCCACATCTTCTAATCAATTGTGCACATCATAAAAGCAGTTTTTCATTCTTTTGAACAAGTTGCGATTACTTTGGTACATTCATGCAATTGATTATGTACATTTGTCTGCGGTTTCCTACATTATCAGTTGCTCAAAATGTATTACATAGTTCTCTGTGCAACAGTCTTACCCCCCGAAACATCTAGGCATTAGTTCATCGTATAAGTCATTAAATGCAAAATGGTTGATCTAGTTGTCATAAACTGTGAAGCATATTTTCTACATATTTCTATTAGACTTGTTGTAAATTTTCCATGAATTGTGCAGGTGAATCTTGACTTTTACTAATAAAGAGAATAAGGATCAACTAATAATAAACCAGTTCTCTGAAATTGCTCAAAGGTGCATCTCATGAACTTTTCCTTGGAAAGCATACATAGAGAGAGAGAACAACACAAGAGCTACAAATTCTGACAATGGATATTTCCTCCCCGTTGGCCTGGTAAATCAACAGTAGCTCTCTGGCCGATGCCATTTCAACCACGCCTTCTGCTTTTGGCCAGGTTGAAGCCAGCCTCATCCACATATATGAAGTTGTGAGATGGTTCACTTGACTCCAATTCCATGTTGCATTGCCAGGGAAGATATTCGTTATGATATAGATGAGAATCTGTGGGCCGACAGACTGGCACGTCAAGAGGTGTAGACAGACTGCACTGCAATTCCTCATACAGTGCTGCAGGCAAAAGCAAAGTTCTTCCTAAGGGGTGTTTCTTGTGTTTGCCTTTGTAATTTTTTTTTTCGCCTTTGTGCCCATATTTATTTTCTATATCACAATGACGTAATGTTTTTTTTTTTTGTCAGACCACTAGTAAAGTGTAACTGTGAATTCCTGTCCAGTCTCTTTCAATCAATATCCCACATACAGTAATGTGTAAATTTGTACTTTTGAAATGGATATATGGCATACATAAGAAGTGCAGCCTTCTGCATTTCAATACAGTAACTGTTATCCAAACTGTTGCCATAGTTTACATCAGGTAATACTAACAGAGTGCACTGTAATGTTGACAACGTGACTAAGCATTTTGACTATCTTATTTGTGAACAATGACACAAGGACTTTTCATTCTGATGGCACTGATATGTTCATTGACATAAATACTTACTTTTGAGAGATGAACAAAAGATTTTGAGTAAGTTACAGGCTTTTGCAGGTAATCCATTGTGTGGTGCTGTTTGTACGAATTGTTTTGAGAAATGCACATACTTCTTTGCAAATATTAAGGATGATTCGAGAAATGCACCAAAGCGACTGAGAAAAACTGTAAAGAGTGCTAATTACAACTGACAATTTGAACAAATCAAGTTAGGTCAAGTCACCTTTATTTGTATAGTGCTTTATACAATACTGGTTGTGTCAAAGCAGCTTTACAATGTTAACAGTGGAAAATGTCAGTTTGTCACTTGGCAACACAAGATTTGAAGAACTTGTGTTGTACTACAGCACAAACAACTTTTAGTGAAAATTACATCACTTGTGCCTGTATACTGCATTCACATAAAAATACAAAATTTTAAACCAAACTATAGTTTATACTAGTTTATCATGTTCATCTTTTGTTCATGTTTAAAGTTCCATTTGACCAAAAGTAGTTTACTTAATGCTACAGGACATTTTGTATTGATGTATTATTTGTAAATCATCACTATCATTAAATAATTTTTACTAATACCTTATTGCTAATAACTTAATGCTAAAGACCACTTAAGTGTACTTAAAGATAATACACTTCCATGACTGTTTCTTAACACACTTAAGTAGACTTAATAAAAATAATAACAGACAAAGGTTTTACTTTAAAATATATTTTTAAATCATGTTTTAATAATCTGTTTGTTGTTAAAGAAGTACACTTATTTTGATGTGTTTACTAATATATTAAAACACATGTAAAGTACTTAATTTTTAACTGTAGCGTGTTATTCAATATTACATTAAAATTAATATATTTTAAATGTACTAAACTTCATCATGACAAATGTGTAATTACAAATATATTTAAATACATGACATCCAAGTTTAAATAGAAATTAAATTATATTTTAGTTTACCTGAAATGCTTGTACACATTTTGCAGTACACTTTAACCATATTACAAAAACAGTAGAGGTAATTATGAAATTAAAAATTATTTAAACTTATGTGGGTTAAATAACACTGTAAAGTTCAGCTGACTGAATTTAATATAAATTTAAACTATAATACATTTTCAATTAATTGCAATATTTTTTATTGCAAATAAAAATCACTAAGACTGATATATGGAGGGGAACGGGGCTAGTTGTCACACAATTCTTCTCAGGATAGCTTCAGGTTTGAAAGTCAATTTTTGTTAAGGCTTGACTACAAAAAACTATTAAACATTTCTGCCATTTTCTCCAGGAAAAATAAAATACAGAACACAGCTCACGAATATCCAACCATTTTGTCTCACTAAGGGGTAAGTTGTCACAATAGAACCTGCCATTTTGTAAAATAATTACGAAACAGCAAACAAATGTAAAATGCAACATTCAAAAATATAAACAAATATTATAATTAATAAATTGTATGAATTTTTTACTTAAATCTTGCCCCGAACTGACTTCTATGAAACAGTCTACACAGTGTAAACTTTTAGTTAGTATATCTAGCGTTATTAGTTGACTTTTGCCTGAATGGAGATTAAATGAAACTCACCAGTGTGTCGATCTCTGTCTGTTGACGGAACAGCCGGTAAACGCAGAGCGCGCAGTCTCTGCCGCATTCAGCGCGAACCATCAGCACGAGACAGGCGCTCAAAACCAGAGTCCACCAGTTCACAGTTAACGCCATGGCGGGCTGCAAACAATTAAGCATTTAACCTTTACTTACATAAGGAAAATATAAATCAATCTCTGGCAGAGTTTTGCAAATTGAAAATGTATGGTAAACTATATCTAAAGCCCTATTCGCACGGGATTAGTATTATCACAGGACCTCGGTGTTCGGCGAAATATGGTAGGTTATTTGCGGGGGGGATTTTTACTTTACAAATTACAGACATGGCCGATTCGCACGGGATTAATATCACAGACAACCTCCGCAATTATTACAAATGACTGGAGGTCACCAGGTAATACGAATCCCGTGCGAATAGGGCTATACTCATATATTACAAAAATAGTGTAGCCTATAATACGCACGCTCACAAATTGTTTAGTACAGAAAGCGCATTTGCTTATGAAAGAACCCATCAATAGACCAAACACCCTATCCAGTGTATAAAATTATTAGTTAATCATTTTATTATGCTACTTTAAATTCTGCTCAAAGTTTTTCTCCATTAGTTTACCTGTTTACAGTAGTTTTCTTTGGTAGTGTCCACTGTAGTGCTGAATATGTTGGACAGCTTCTCACAGGGAGCAAAAAGAGAAAAAGATCACTAGTCAGTCGTGTTGCGGCGTCTTTGGTAAAGTATCTTGTATCTCACAGCACGAGGATAAACTCCACACCTGCTCTGTTCAGAAACGACCGTCACTCACAACTTTAAGCAGCATCCCCCCATGACACCACGCCGTTTGCAATCTGACGTCAGCAGGAAGCTTCACGCATGGAGAGAATCAATTAATGTGATAATTTTCGATTCTCGAATAATACAGTAGCCCTCGCAAGTTTCAAGTGATCAAAAAAGTGCATTTGACCATTATAACTAAAGTTACTGTGAATATTTATGTTTGGGGATAATTAATCTGGCTGAATATACTCTTAAAAATAAATGTTCCAAAAGGGTGTAGCAAAAATAACCATTGTTGGTTCCCAAAGAACCTTTCAGTGAACAGTTCTTAGGAGTGCCATAGGAGAACCATAGGCGTGTATTCAATCCAACTGCTTAATCTGTGTTTTTTCCTGAGTATTTGCAGTGTATTAATACCAGTGTCATCATGACTGCTCTATCTGATGTCATTGTTTTGCATCCTTCGTATTATGTCTGCAGTGTTTTTAAACAGCTGCTGCAGCATTTTGATATATGTATCATAACATTTACTCATTTGACACATTTTATGGATATTTGCTCATTTGATCAAATATCAGTTTCCAGGAAAAGTCAGACTCTTCCTCATTGAGCCCATAGACAACTGATGTCATAAAAAGGCAATTTAAAAGTTATCACAGTAAATTCTAGATTTTTCTATTGCAGGTTTCATGTAGCCTGAAGTATTAAGAAGTTGGTTGTCAGGACAATAACAGACATCAGTCAGAGGTTTTGGATACACTGCTAATCAGGGCCTGAGATTAACACTAGCCAAGTGCCAAATGCAAGTAAAAACTGGTGTTGGCGAGTTGGTGACAATTGGATGGAGGCAGATCTGAATGCAAGCTTGCAGTTGATTATAAGAAAGGGGCGGGTTTAAGTGGAGTAAATTATTGAAGAACTCTGACATACATCATCAGAGAGAAATCGTTTCAACAGAAGATTGGGTTATGAAACATACTTAAAAATTATGAGGTAATAAAAAAATTAACAAATGAAACATGGATGGATGAATAGTCACAATACAATCAATAACATGTCAATAACAATTTATAAAATAGGGTGACTTTTCATTTCATGCTGAATTTAATTCTAATTATGCACTTCTTATTTGGATTTTTACTTTACAAATTACAGACATGGCCGATTCGCACGGGATTAATATCACAGACAACCTCCGCAATTATTACAAATGACTGGAGGTCACCAGGTAATACGAATCCCGTGCGAATAGGGCTATACTCATATATTACAAAAATAGTGTAGCCTATAATACGCACGCTCACAAATTGTTTAGTACAGAAAGCGCATTTGCTTATGAAAGAACCCATCAATAGACCAAACACCCTATCCAGTGTATAAAATTATTAGTTAATCATTTTATTATGCTACTTTAAATTCTGCTCAAAGTTTTTCTCCATTAGTTTACCTGTTTACAGTAGTTTTCTTTGGTAGTGTCCACTGTAGTGCTGAATATGTTGGACAGCTTCTCACAGGGAGCAAAAAGAGAAAAAGATCACTAGTCAGTCGTGTTGCGGCGTCTTTGGTAAAGTATCTTGTATCTCACAGCACGAGGATAAACTCCACACCTGCTCTGTTCAGAAACGACCGTCACTCACAACTTTAAGCAGCATCCCCCCATGACACCACGCCGTTTGCAATCTGACGTCAGCAGGAAGCTTCACGCATGGAGAGAATCAATTAATGTGATAATTTTCGATTCTCGAATAATACAGTAGCCCTCGCAAGTTTCAAGTGATCAAAAAAGTGCATTTGACCATTATAACTAAAGTTACTGTGAATATTTATGTTTGGGGATAATTAATCTGGCTGAATATACTCTTAAAAATAAATGTTCCAAAAGGGTGTAGCAAAAATAACCATTGTTGGTTCCCAAAGAACCTTTCAGTGAACAGTTCTTAGGAGTGCCATAGGAGAACCATAGGCGTGTATTCAATCCAACTGCTTAATCTGTGTTTTTTCCTGAGTATTTGCAGTGTATTAATACCAGTGTCATCATGACTGCTCTATCTGATGTCATTGTTTTGCATCCTTCGTATTATGTCTGCAGTGTTTTTAAACAGCTGCTGCAGCATTTTGATATATGTATCATAACATTTACTCATTTGACACATTTTATGGATATTTGCTCATTTGATCAAATATCAGTTTCCAGGAAAAGTCAGACTCTTCCTCATTGAGCCCATAGACAACTGATGTCATAAAAAGGCAATTTAAAAGTTATCACAGTAAATTCTAGATTTTTCTATTGCAGGTTTCATGTAGCCTGAAGTATTAAGAAGTTGGTTGTCAGGACAATAACAGACATCAGTCAGAGGTTTTGGATACACTGCTAATCAGGGCCTGAGATTAACACTAGCCAAGTGCCAAATGCAAGTAAAAACTGGTGTTGGCGAGTTGGTGACAATTGGATGGAGGCAGATCTGAATGCAAGCTTGCAGTTGATTATAAGAAAGGGGCGGGTTTAAGTGGAGTAAATTATTGAAGAACTCTGACATACATCATCAGAGAGAAATCGTTTCAACAGAAGATTGGGTTATGAAACATACTTAAAAATTATGAGGTAATAAAAAAATTAACAAATGAAACATGGATGGATGAATAGTCACAATACAATCAATAACATGTCAATAACAATTTATAAAATAGGGTGACTTTTCATTTCATGCTGAATTTAATTCTAATTATGCACTTCTTATTTTTACGTTCAATTTAACAGCAAACCTCTTCTGACAGGAGCATCTTAATGATTAATGACTTCACATCAAATATATGAATACCATAACTAAGCATTTAAGCATGAATTCTAACAACAAGACAATTCATGCCCTTAAACACATTTCTCTATATCGTGGCAATAACATTTCAAAGACAATATCAGGACTACTAAAAATACGTTTCTTGAATCCAATTAGGAAACCCTGTTTTGGAAATGGTAATTAATTTTAATTAGTTTTAGAAGTAATGCTGTTCTTATTAATTCAGCAGAATTTATGAGGACAGATTTGACAGACCTCTGCACGTAATCAAGCACTTAGTCACCGTTTTAAATTAAGGACTGTTAATCATTCATTCAATCATTTTAAAAATGGTTTATGCTTTTTATGAATTCTGAATCAAACATCTTTTGATAATGGATCAGTGTAGCAATCCTCTCCACCTGAACAATGTTGGTTTTCCTCATAAAGCGAAAAAATGAATCCAACTTTCCTCTAGGCTGACAATGAATCTAATCTGTAAATAAACAATATAAATTAAAAATGAGAAACCATGGAGATTGTGAGTAACACTTCGTGTGGAACTGTTTTAAGTGGCAATTTGCATAGATGCCACTATAGTTTTAATGTGCCGCTGGAGATTTTGAAAGCATCATATTGATCCATTAAATTACAAGATGATGATGGTTTTGCCTGCCAGGGGGCCATAGCTGGAAAATATGCTTGTTTAGCACGCCATTACACTCTCACTGGCATGTTATCTTCATAAACTCTACAGCAAAGTGGTAGTTTCATATTACAGTTTTTCTCAATTGCTTTGGCTCAATTCTCGAATGAAACTTTTTTTTCCCGAAACAATAAGTTCAGATCTCTGAACAATTAGCTTCTTGTTCACATCAGATTGGAATTTCTTATTGATTTGAGCAAATTGCAAATGCTTTGGCACATGTGTGCCAACAGTAAGTACAATTGTCTACAGTTTGCACAACAACTAATTGCATATGGCTTGTTGATCAAAACTGATGAGCCGATTCTCACTTAAACTGTCAAACTCTTCACAACTTTGTTTCGAAAAATGTGCCAAAGCAATTGAGAAAAACTGTAATGAACTATGAATTTATGTAGATCGATATTTTATGTTGACAGGTTTTTGCATATTTAATGATGGTATTTAAAGTTAAAATTGGTGCTGACCTAGTGTTAAAATAATAACAAAAAAATGAACATTTTGTCATCATTTTCCCACCCTCATGTCATTTCAAAGCTGTATGACTTTCTTCTGTGGAACACAAAAGAAGATATTTTGAAGAATGTGTCAGGCTTATTTGTCCATACAATGAAAGTCAGTGATGTTTTGGGCCCCACTGACTTTCATTGTATGGTCAAAAGCAGCTGAAATATTTGAAATAGCTATTTTTCATTTCTGGGTGAATGATCCCTTTAAACTTACGTTAGAGCATGAGATATCCTTAAGACTCTGCAAGTCCCTTTTGACGAAAAACATTCATTAAATGACAAGCACACCTAAGATATGAGTGCAAGTTAATCCTGAGGGAGCAACACATTTCTTGTTGGAACAAGTAATTTGCCTTTTAAACCCTTAAAACTAACTCTTATTTTAGGACATGACAGTTTTGATCATTCAAAACAATTGCATTCCATGACCTGCTGGATTTCCAGTATACTGTAAACACAAGTCAAAAAAACTATTGACATTTAAAGGGATAGTTGATGAACATTTTGTGATTGTTTACTCACCCTCATGTCGTTCCAAACCTGTATGACCTTCTTTCTTATGTGGAACAAAATAGAAGAAACATAAACATCTCAGTTGTTTTGTGTTCTGCAAAATAAATAATATTTACATTTACATTTAGTAATTTAGCAGACACTTTTATCCAAAGCGACTTACAAATGAATTATTTATTATTATTATTATTATTAGTTTTGGATTAACTATCCCTTTAATATGAACCTTTGAATTTCTTTATGCATTGAAAATATGAATCATAACTTGTCACTCTTTTTTACTTTTGATCAAACCTTCTTCCAAAAATTAAAAACCACTATGATTGGTGCACAATTAAATATGATTGTGGGCTGTGTAGTTTGGGTATAAGAAAAATTTTAATCAGCTCTCATATTCAATTTCCTGCTGGGTGAAGAAAGGATATCAGCACCATAATTAAAGTGTCACTCAGGCTATGGCTAAACAACAGCAATGACAGGAATAGTTAATTAAATTGTGCCACACATATGAG